GAGAGAGAGAGAGAGAGAGAGAGAGAGAGAGAGAGAGAGAGAGAGAGAGAGAGAGAGAGATTTTATCACTGACCATCAGTTATTTGGTTTTTCAAAATTTTGTGAAATTGCAAAGAAAGATTGAAGGATTCACTTTAGCTGTGAGTCGCTGAAGGTAGTTTTAAAAAGCAAATKTTTTCCTGCCTAAATACTGTTTATAGTTTTTATGTGTAAAACATTTCCACTAAAACTGATTGATTATTTAGACGTACAGTATTTAAATCCTAATTGCATCATTATAATGATGAGCATCAGTCAGGATGCTACATATATACAGTATGTCATATTTGTTTTGTTGACAATGGCTTCCTCTTTCCTGGGGAATAGTTTGTTGAAGTGAGGCTAACAATTGTCTTGTCGTCACATCATGCCTACTTTCTGCACATTGGCAAACATCCTCTGAACACAATTTGGAGACCATCTTGCTTCTTTTTGGGGCAGAGTAGAACACAGTGCACTTCCTGTCTGCAAAGAAAGCATAAACATTCCATTGCCTCTTCTGAAATGAAACACATTTGCCCCTTCAGATACATATTTTGAAAATATAAACTAAAGCCTTACTTGGTTCATAGTAATCATAAACTGTAGCTGGAGCCGGCTGTAGAAGGCCAACTGGCACTTTTTGTTCAGCATCAAAACTGATGCATTCCTGTTGCTGTAAGAGCTGGAAAAGGAGAAAACAGGTTTTACTTTTGAGATAGGTTCATGTTTTCTGTGCAACTTCAGCCTTACCTCATTGAAGTAGAGCACCACTTTTCCATAGGATAACTCATAATGACTGATGTATTGTTCAGCGGGCATCTTTAGCTAGGAAGAGACACAAATTGAATTTTTAATAAAGTTTTAGAAATGCAGATTTCATTTTCCATTTAAGAGCTTTTCAAACTAAAGCATGAAAGCGTTCTCTAAGAGTTTTCTATCATAGACCTCAGCTACATTACTCTGAAGTACAACCAAGGTTGTAAAACCTTCAGAATTCATTATTTTTGGTGTGTAAATATGATTTGCACTGATCTTACATTTTTAATGAGCTGATCTATTATTCATTGAATAAACTACATATACTGTATTAGATATCTTTTTGTAGGAAAATATGTAAAGATCTAGGTATCGTACTGATTGTAAAAGTGTCATTTTAATTGTTTTGTCAGTGAACGAAATGACACTTTGACATTATGTCGAGAATAAAGAAAACAGCAAACCATGTCCAGGTCTTCAGCTTTAGCCTCAAATCCACTAAGTAGTGTGATGTCAGCAATAACCATCCCAGATAGACTGGTGTTTGGATTACGACTATGAAGAAACAAACAACAAAAAGTTTAAAAGCTCCTAAAATCAGCAACATGGACATTTTTTAAATGTGGAAGTGGATCTTGACTAACCTGACACAAACAGTGTAGGTAACAGTGCTGTCTGAGTTTATGTTGTTTTCAAGATCTCTCCTGCTTCGTATGAGAGCATCAAAATGATCAGTCTCAACTGGTGCCTCTTGTGCCTGCTTATCCACATTGTCGTCGTAATCATAATAGTCATAATTATCTGTGACAGTTGCTGGAATGATAGAAACACCTGTAAGTGTACGCCGTATTGATGGTTGTGATTTGTTATTAAATCTCACCAGTGTACTTCACTTTCCCTTCCATTGTGACACTGATAGAAAGTTGGGCACAGTTGTCTTCAGGGTCCAGCACATAGTAAGCTTTTACAGTCTGGTAAAAAGGAGATTTACTGTTGGTCTATTCAGTATTTCCTAAATGAACCATATAACTGAGTTATACTCACTTTAACTTTAAAGTTTCCTTCTCCTGTCAGAGTGACATTAATCGTGTTTCCTGTAATTTTCTGAGAACAAACACAAAGGAAGTACTTTTTAAAAATATAAAAAATTGCAACTCTTTTTTTTTTCAAGTGTGTTGCATCAAGCATTGATAATACCTTTAGATCTGTTTCCACTTTTTCTTTTTTATCCTTCAATGCAATAGTTACAATGTCAGTCTTTCCTGGAAAAATGAACTCAGCTTTTATGTTTCCTTCTGGTCTGGGCTGTTTTATTTCATACTCTGAAAGGGCTTCAAGTGCCACAACAGTATCCTTTACAGAGTGGAAAAACATTTAACATTGTCTGATAAATATTATGGCTGATATTGTATATGATAATAAATCAGAGATGATTTGTTCAAAATCAGTTTTGAACAACTTTGTCTGGCATGACAATTACCTGTGTTGATTTGTAGCCTCCAAAATAGTTTTCTTGGCTGGTTAACCAACAGGCTATTTGGTCTGCCCACTCATAATCTGCAAGCTCCACAGCAGTTAGAAGAGCATAGGCTGTTGTCTCGACTGCGGTGGCATGTTCCGTTTTTATATTCACTTGACTGAGATTTTCAGTCCACAGGTAGCAGTGATTCTTATCTGATAATATGAAAAACAAAAAAACAAACACAAAATAATTACCCTAGTAAAATGTTAATTAAAAGCTTTTATATATTTTTTTGTTTAACCAGAGGAGAGTTGGTCAAATTATATGAACTTTCTAGACATACAGTAGTTTTATTTTTGAGCATCCTAATTTGTTCATTTGAAAATGTTACAATTTATCAAGTTATCAAATTTTTTTAACATATAATTTCCTATCAATATCATAGATTTTTGTGAAATTGTTGATTGACTTTGTTAAATTTTTTTATCCAGTTTGCACAAATGACATAATTAGAAGCAAAATGAAATTGCATAAATAGGAATAGATCAGTTTGCCCTGATTTCTTATGCATGTTTGATTAGCATGGACATGCCTTTTAATGCTCTTGACTGAAGTTTCTTCCATGCAGACAATGACTCCGCTTCCTTTGGCAGACAAACTGAGAGACAATAAGCTGTTAAGGCCATGGCGTATGGATGGCTCAGCTCCTCAACCTGAGACTGGAGATATGCTGTTGCATTTGATATGCCTGCCTCCTGTTAAAAATAAGCAAGAGAAACATGTTTAATGCATATAATAAGCTGAGAAAAGTTGATCAAAGTAGGCACAAAAAAATCACTATTATATAGATGGTTTTATTGACATTAATGAATATGTGCGGTCAGTGGGTAAAAATGTTGTTGTTCAGTAGATTGTATTTAACTTCTTTAATAAACATATATTTTCATGGTTTAAAATAATTATTAAAGCCATTAGAAATATTTTCATGATAAAGTTCATAGTTAAAGACTTTATTGGTAGATTTTTGAAACATGYTGACATGACTTCTAAATGATCATATACATTTCAATTTATTTATTTTTTATTTTTTGCTGTCCTTATTTGACAAATGCAGTCTGGTGAGTGCAGTAACAAATTATTCATAACAATACCTATTTTACACATTTTTTTCATTAATTTCACCACATGACGGTTTATCTCACCGCTTTAGATCGAACATTAGGATTCAGGAACTGAAGGGATCGTTTCAGTGAAAGTGTAATGAAAGCAGTCAACCAGGAACTTTGGTCTTTCTACAATAAACGGAGATAAAAGGTGCTCAGTTTATTGTAATTTAAACAATGTTCTCATGTAAAACCATGACATGAAGGCGTTTACCTTAACATCTCGGTGTAACACAAGATTTGAACCAATAAATGACCCGTTACTCTGCTGTTGTGAGAGCAAGTAAGTGACTGATTGGTTGAGGTCTTGTTCTATTAGAACATCAATAACCTGACCCTGTGGGTCAAAAGCTGCTGTTTGACGCTCCGCCACCATCGACAGAACTTTCACTACATAGGCAGTCGCCCTGAGCAATAGATGCAAAAAAAAAAAAAAACAAAAAAACAATAAGCTGGAATTGTAAAGTTAGTTTTTAATATTACTATTGAAATCAATTAAGCTGATTACTTTTATGTGACRTTCTTTATGGAAATTGTTCATCAAAATCAAATAATAGTAATATGTACTTACCAAGTGCTAGATTGTGCAAAATAAAATGATCCATATGCGTCGTTATTCGATTTTTTGTAATTTAAAATTTGAATATAACCTGGAAAATGATCACATTTTACATAAATGAAATAGTGTATTTTTTAAATTCAATTTCACATTCTGCAATACTTATTTAAAAGTGAAAATGGAAAATTAAGCTTACAAATGATCTTTGTCACAAAGAAAATCATTTGTTACGTATGTAGTAAGTTATTATGTACAGTAATAATCCACATGCACCAAGTCAACTTCTATATCACTGCTCTACATTTCTTCATCATATCTCATGTTTGTAAGACCCATTCTGATAAAAATGCCAAACACCACAGCTTTTTTGGTACTTCCGTCTGATATCCTCAGTTATTTCCTCTTCCTGCTCTAGTAGAATATTTTTAAAAAACTAGACTTCGGACCATATGTTGCCTCTAATGCTGCGTTCAGATCGAACGCAATTTGAGCACTAGGAGTGTCTGGTTTTCATGCAAAGTCTACGGTGGATGCATTTTTATTGTGAACATTTTTTGTGTTGGACGTACCGTATTTAATGTTATCAAGAGCCCTATCTCTGGCATCAGAAGGCAGTTCTAACCATTGATCACTTAAGTCAAGGTAGCGGAGGGCTAAAACAGTAGGCGCCAGTCTATTTACAGTCTGTTCTAAACATCCTCTGGGCAGTACAATCAAATTTAGAACTTTTTCTGGACTAAGAAGATTCTTCGCAAGTGAACTTGGAAATCCATCCCCTGTAGATGAGAATACGGAAATGTTAGAGACTTGTCATTTATACAATGAATTACACATTTGAGTCTGGCATACCAACCTTCTATTGAAATGAACATATTGGAGCTGGAGCCAGGGACTGTTTTATCTGGCAAACTACCATCAATATATAGAGTCTTTGAACTCCGCCCTTAAATGACAGAGATGTACTTAAGAAAAGTAAATTACAAAGTCAGGCAGCTATAAAAAATATTAAAACCACTCACCATCAAATTTAATTACATTGGTTTTTTCTTCTCTTTTTTCAAATCCTTCTGTCTGCAACCAGATTTAACAGAGTAATAATTTAACCWGTTACTTTCCTGTTTTATTTTTTCTTTGTTCAATTTGAAAAAACTGTTGCTACAGTAAGATAATGAATTTATTCACCACTAACCTGCACATTCAGCTTTTTCTCCACTGTATCTATTAACATTTCATTTTCAGGATCAAAAAGAAGTATTTTAATGGGTAATGGCCCTGAAACCATGGGGACAGCAGAGAAGGAAACATGCTGAGAAGACAGTGGTTCCAGGTCAATTGTAACAAAGGAGGATTTCGTAGCTGAAGCAGGAGAGCAAAGTCCTTCAGTTTGTACCATTTGGACTACAAGCTGTGGAAATGCAGATTTTAAGGGAAAATTACAAATTTAGTCAGAATTATTTTGATCAGATGAATTGTTACTTTTCAAAGAGACAAAATGCACAAGTGGTGATTAATTTTTACCTGTTGTGTTTTGTTGACATAGTTGTAGATAACAGGTGACACAGACAGTTGTTCAAATTTTTTAACAGAGTAAGGCAGCCTCAGGGACACAAATGTTTCTTTAAATGCTTTGACTTCATGTGGCTTAACTACACAGAAACCTGAAAGAGTAAGATTAAGTTTTAAAAAGCTCAGTTGTGAAATTTTTAGAAAACAATGAAAAGCAGCTCTTACCAGTAGCAGGAGATAATGTGACCACCTGGATTTCCCATGTTGTGATGGAGTCTGGTAGAACAAAGGTATGCCTAGAAGAGGGTTTTATGCATGTCACATCAGTTCAATTCAGTTTATTTATATACTGTAGTGCCAAGTTTCAACATATGCTGTCTCAGGGCACTGTACCCCAAAAMATTTAAAGGGGCAATATCAAGTCAAATCACCTCTTTTGAGTCTTATATCATGTTATAATGTTATAATCTCATAAAAAAACATGCCCAAAGCCTTGCTTTGACTCATTTATGCATGTTTGAGGAATCCTGCAGCGTTTTTAGGAAGCCATGCTGAGGAGCAAAACGACAGGTGGGAACCAGAAACACCTTTGGGAACCAGAAACACCTCTGGGACGTGTCTTTAAGGCGAACTTCCTCATTGGCCTCCGTTGCACCAAGGCGCCAATCAGTTGGACGCTCCAGTCTGTCCCTACCAAGCCCTCGTCTGGTGTGGCCACACTGCACACAGCCCGTCTACTACTGTTGTWTCATTGTGCATCTGCTTGTAATAGCCATTTTCACAYAATCTAACAAATGCTGTGCTGGGAGGGCCGAGTTAATTTWAACAAAAGGTTGGGAGGGCGTTGCCAACTGCAGCTTATTAGCAGAAGCTTGTTCTGAAGGGGGCGCAGAACAGGTAGAACTGAAAATGTGAAATCTCACTATCTGAGATTCATTTTGTGAATTAAATCAAATGAACAGGATTTGTATAACCCACAGATGGATCCTAACTTATTCAAGACCCCATGATAGGTCCTCTTAAAAGAAGCCAGCAGAAAGCATTGAATCACTTCATCACAGTCTCCSGTCCTGAGCAGCACATTGGCGACAGTGGAAATGAAAAATCTCCCTTTTAACAGGAAGAAACCTCCAGCAGAACCAGGCTCAGGACAGGTGGCCATCTGTCTCAACCGGCTGGGATTGGGGGACGGGAAAGAGAGACAGACAAACACAAAAGGACTGGTCCAGGTGTATTTTTGTCTGAAAGAGTGACAAAGAAAACATGTTATTGATAGAAGTAATTACAATTAACATGTAGAGGAGAGTGACTAAAGACAGCAGCAGATTGAGGAGATGTGGTCAGTTTGGCTTCCGACAGTCTAAATCTGTTGCAGCAAAACTAAGGAAAAACTCAGAAAATCAACCCTGATTTAAAAAGGAAAGTCTTCAGTCTAATCTTAAAAGTAGACAGAGTGTCAGCTTCACAGACAGAAACTGGAAGTTGATTCCATAAGAGAGGAGCTTGATAACTGAAAGCTCTGCCTCCCATTCTACTTTTAGAAACTCAAGGAACCACAAGTAAACCTGCAGTCTGAGAGCGAAGTGCTCTGTTAGGAAAGTATGGAACAATAAAATGTTTAATATATGATGGAGCTTGGTCGTTAAGTTAGTTTTTGTCGTTGCAGATGTTTCTATTCTGCTGTGTTTATAACAACTGGTAACTTACAGAAGCACTGATGTAAACGAGGAGAATAAATCTGATGTAAATTCATTAAATTAATTCATTCAAGGTGGCGGGACGTGAAGATTAAAAACTCACTGTCTCCCATTCAGCCCTACGATGAGCATTTCATTCACCAAAGAAAATACAGTTCTGTGGGACACTACCAAGATAGAAAAACTAAATGTAATATTTATATTTCACATTGAGACAGCTTTAAAGAAACTGAGCAGTTCATGG